GTTTCAAATCAGGAAGAGAGAGCGGGACACTCGGGGGGGAGATAAATGGAACAAACTGTGTACCATTTCCCCACAAAGATACGAGCAGCAGAACAATGGAGAGGCGAAGGAAAAAGTAAAGGAACAAAGGGAACATCAGCCCGAATCAAGAGAGCAGAAGAATTAGAAGCCCCAGCAATGGCTGGGGGGGGGGGGGGAGAGAAAGGAATAGCCACGAAAACGACCAGGACGAGCACCAAGCATCGGCTCCTGGAGACAGACACAAAGGGGCGAAAACCGCGAAACCAGAAGTTGGAGTTCGAGGAAATTGGCGTAATAACCTCGAACGTTCCATTGAAGAATGGACAACGACGAGAAGACAAAGGACAAAAACAGAGAACAAGGAAGAAACAAAGGCGAAAGACCAACAGAGCACGTTAAAGAATATCAGGGTCGGAATCAGGGTCAGCAAAGTCAGGGTTAGGGGGCATGTGTAAACTGAGCAAAGACGGAGGGAAGGAAACGGGAGAACAGATCAGAGGTGGGCGGGCAGGGTCCGGAGGAGGAGGAGGAGGAGGAGGAGGAGGAGGAGGAGGAGGAGACAACGGAGAGGAGCAGTCAAGGACAGCAGCAGGAAGAGGGGGAGTAGAAAGAGAGGAGCGCACCCCAGCAAGAGCAGCAACCGAAAGGGAAGCAGGGGTCAAAGAAACCTCCATAGCAGGAACAGGGGGCGCAAGCACTGAAACGGGAGGGGAAGGAGCAACAGAGCCAGAAGGAGGAGCTGAGGAAGAAAGCGAAGCCTTCTTACCCGCCGGGGAAGAGGAAGGAGAGGAGCCAGGCTTACGCTTCTGACTTAAAGAGACCGGTGTCCCAGCAACTACGTACCGGGCAACGGATTCCAGTGTCTCAACAGGAGAAGCCGAACGAGAGCACACACGACGGCCGTTAGGAGAGCGATGGACATCCGCCCGCACCGACAGGCGGCGGGGAGAGCCGATAGATGGAGGAAGAGGATGGGAAGGAGGATCGGAGGGGGACGAGGAAGAAGACACAGAAGACACGACAGACCGGGTAGAAGGAAGGGGAACCCCAGACAGAGGACCAGGAGGAGGATCCTTCGGGAGAGAACCCAAAGGGACAGAGGAGGGGGCAGTGGGCGCATCAGGGTCCAAGGCCTGGAAACGGTTGTGAGTCTGAGGAAGGCGGGAAGGACGAGGAGAGGAAGAGCGCAACACGCGAGCATAAGAGATATTAGCATAAGGCGGGAGCCGGCGAACCTGGCGCCTCGCCTCAGGAAAAGATAAACGCTCCCGGTGCTTCAAGTTGAGGACGGCTGCCTCAAGCTTGTAATGGACACACGCACGGGAGAAGGTAGGATGGGCCTCACCGCAGTTGAGGCAACGAGCCTGGGGAGAAGCGCACTCCGACTTAGAGTGACCTTCGCCACCACACAAAGGACAGAGAGAGACAGTCCCGGAGCAGCGGAGGGCACCATGCCCAAACCTCCAGCACTTGTTGCAGAGCCGAGGAGAAGGAATGTACTCCTGGACAGAGCACCTGGCACCAGCAAGAATGACAGAGGGTGGTAGGGTCCTACCATCAAAGGTAATCTTCACAACCCGGAGGGGTTGACGGCGACTACCACGAGGGGGACGAGTAAACGTGTCCACCTGGAGAATAGAATGGCCCTGGGCAGCGAGGATATGTCGAATATCGTCGTGGCAGTCGCGCAGGTCCCGAACACCGGTCGCAACATGGGGCGGGAGCAAAATAGTGCCAACACTGGCATTCAACTGAACGTTCTTCGAGACCCGAACGGGGGTCTCGCCAAGGCAGGATAAGGCAGCCAAGCGGGAAGCAGCATCCTGAGAAGGAGCAGCAACGACACGTGTACCGAGACGAGTGGGGTTGAAAGTAATGGAGGCATCCACGGAATCAATGAGATGTCGATGGAGGGAGAAATCGTCAGGAGGCGCAGAATCAAGAGGGAGGAGATCAAAATATTTGGCCCACGAAGCGGGACCAAACAAGGCTTGATAGGTAGCAGAACTGGAAGGAATCGAGCGAGGGCGGCCGTGACGAAGACGGCGGTGAGAACCCCCAGAGAGAGAGGGGTTAAAAGGCGCAGTAGTTACAACTAGAGAAGGAGCCACGCCAGGGGACGAGGTAGTCACCACTGGGGGCTTGGGGCTCGACCCAACCACAGAGGAGGGAGGGGAGCCAGAGGAAGGAGTCAGAGAGGCCAAAGGAGGAGCAAGGTCGGGGCCCAATGCAGCGGAGGCTACAGAGCCCGGTCTTCCAATACGGACCGACTCGGGGGCTTGGTCGCCCACCCCACGAGCCTGAGAAGGTAAACCAGAAGAAGCCGAAGCAGGGGTAATCATCTTGACGAAAGAAAGAATTCACTCACGAATGTGCCCCCACACCCACCATGGAGCCACAATTAGAGGCAGGACACCCAACAAGAAGCTATCGCCGATCTTGTCGGGGCCTCCTAGGGGTGCGTCGCGAGTATACGCCCCACAAACGCCACCTTAAGAAACCGACAGTCCGTCGAGATCGGGTTCAGTGACGAAGTGGGGATTGACAATAAAAGGTTCCCCTCGCTCTCGACGTCGGGTACTGCAGTTCTACGGGTGCATGAGTATGCCTCCTCAAGCACCCGGGCGTCAAAATAGAAGAAGTCCAAGGGAAGAACCAGAACGAGCAAAAGGTCGGTAGGAAACGGCAAGCAGATAGGAGAAGAGGGGGGAGAAAAACGAAACAGAAGGAAAAGGAAAAGATGCCCAGCAGAATTGGAGAGGACGGCAGCAGGAGCACAAGGCTAGAAAAGGACAGAGGACTGTCCCAAGGAGCATCACACTCCGGCAGCCGCCCACTAAGCCCCCACACGGCGACAACGAGCTGAGCGGGGAGGGGGAGAAGGATGGGAAGCTGCCCTTTCTAGATGTAACAGTCATGGAAAGGAGCGGAGGTTTCCACACTGCAGTCTACACTAAGGAAACAAACATAGGAATGTGCCTAAATGCCAACAGTGACTGCCCAGACAGGTACAAAAGGAGTGTTGTTAACGCTTATGTCGACCGTGCTCTCAGCCACAGCTCAGGATGGAAGCAAGTCGACGAAGAACTCTGTAGGGTAAGGCAGGTCCTAGTCAACAACGGCTTCTCCAATGGTTTCATTGAAGACATCATAAGAAGGAAAGTGAAACACCATGCAACCTCTGAAGAGACAACTAACACAACACCTATACCCCCTATTAGACTATTTTACAGGAACTTCTTTTCCACAGCTCATAAAACGGAGGAAAGGGTCCTGAAAAATATTGTTAATAGAAACGTTATCCCTACAGACAAAAATCAGAAGATACAACTGACGATTTACTATGAAACCAAAAAAACGGCCAGCCTACGCGTGAGAAACTCTCCAGACACAAAGCAGAACGCTTTAAAAGAGACCAACGTCGTCTATGCCTTTAAATGCCCTCTTGGGGACTGTAAGCCTCAAAAAACTCAGTATATAGGCAAGACAACAACATCTCTTTCCAGGCGTTTAACGATACATAAGCAACAGGGCTCCATTAAGGAACCTATAATCTCTTCCCACAACCAAACCATCACCAGAGAAATCTTAGCAAACAACACAGAAATCATCGATAGATACAGCGATAGCAGGCGGCTTGACATCTGCGAGACACTACACATCAAGAAGTCAACACCAGCAATCAACAGCCAATTAATGCACAACTATATTCTACCCACTTCAAGACTCCGCTCCAATATAGAAGCATCAAGAAATATAGGCCAATAGGCCCTCTGCAATTGCTTCTAATATTACCTTCAATACCCATTATTTCGTGTTCTGTCTTGTGTTGAAAGTTTGTTTTCACCTCATCCAAAACTGTTGTAACATATCACCTCACCCAAATGCAGGTATAAAAAATCGAAGATGTTTAAGCTCTATTCAGTTATAGTTCAGTTGTGTGTGTGTAAACTAAAGTCTTTGAAAATGTAATAAGTTTTACGAAACGCGCTCAAGTGTTGCGTCAGACTAGAAATAAAAATGAATTTTGGAGAATTGATTTTTCAATTACATCAACAGTGAAAAGAAGCATAAGAAAGATCGAGAAAATTCGTGTTAGAATTATTAATCTTACTTTTTCGGTCATATATATATATATATATATATATATATATATATATATATATATATATATATATATATATATATATATATATATATATATATATATATATATATATATATATATATATATATAATACCTATTGAACTTTGCATGTTCTGTATATTAAGCATTATTTAGTTTTTCTGCTTAAGTCTTTAGCCAGTTATTCCAATTAATCAGTTACCCAGTGAGTTGGGGAGTTAATTTCCCTGTTATATCTTATGTTTTAATTTTTGTCAGTGGGTTGGGAAATAAATTTTTTGTGGTTTTTTATTTCCATTTCCTGCTTGAATATTTTGATAGATTGATTTTGATGGGATATTTTGATAGATTGCGCTGCTCTATCAATGCAATTGTAGAATATTTGTGGAAATTCTGTAGATTTTTAGTTGAAATTATGTAAAAATAGTTTTAGACTTTTCTAGGAAACATGGAGAAATTTTGTAGAAGTTATGTAGATTTTTGTAGAAATTATAAAGACAATTTATATATATTTTTTTTGGAAATTACTGTACATATTTTTTGTAGAAATTTTGTACATATATTTTTTGTATAAATTTTGAACATATTTTATTTTTTTTATAAACATTTTGTAGAAACTTTGAAGTTTCTACATAATATCTACATAAATTATACGTAATTTCCACAGAAAATATATATCAAATCTATAAAAAATCAATGAGTTTATCAAATAAGTTCTACATAACTTCTACAAAAATTCTAAAAAATGTATACATAACTTTTACAAAGCTTCTACATAATTTCTACAAGCCTCCTCGGTATTCTTATCTTGTGGCTGACTAGTATGTATCACCTTCATGACTGTCAGACTTACCTGTATCCCCCGTACCTCCTCCTCCTGACGGCGACGCAGACGCAGATGATGACAGCGGTAGCCAGCAGGAGGGCGCTGACTACCCCCGCTACAATGTGAGCATCCAGCCACCCACCCACGCCAGAGGACTCGCCCACCACCACCTCCTGCACAGACTCCGCAGTAATGGATCCTGTAGGAGCAAGGTCCTGTGGTCACTAGTTGAACTAGTGACTAGTTCCATTTCTACAACATATATATACATGCAGTGCAATGACCCATACTATCTCATTTTTGTTAACGGCCTAACCATAAGAGTTGAATCCTATATGTCGATGTTTGCAAATGATGCAAAGTTAATGAGAAAAGTCGAGATAGATGCTTTAAAATACTCCAAATGACGAACTACATAGTCCTAGAAAGGCCTATCACAGTTCAACACAAGTGAAAGGTGATGAAAATCAAAACAAGTGCCAGAAAACCGGGAGGACAATACACAATGAAGGGGAAACTACCATCACGTAACCAGAAAAATCCTAGGAGCAGACATACCATTAAACCTGACATCAGAGGATCGTGTAAACAGGAAGGATTACAACAACAGCTTACTCTACACTCTCCCTTCCCTGTCCAGCCCGTTGTCGCGGTGAGGAGGATTGGTGGGCGGCTGCCGGGGCGCGATGCTCCATGGGACAATCCTCTTTCCTTTTGAAGCCTTATACTCCTGCTGCCATCTTCACTAATTTTGCTGGAGGGTATTTCCTCTTCCTTATCTTTCATTTTTCCTCCCCCCCCTCTACTCTTCTTTTTTCTAATTGTCCTAGACCAACTTTTTTGGTCGACTTTTTGCTATTCTTGATTATTCTTTCGAACATCATCTGTTTTGACGCCCGGGTGTTTGGGGAGGCACACACTCACCCGTAGAACTGTGGTACCTCACGTTGTCGAGCGAGGGGACGCTTTTATTGTCAATCCTCGCCTTCGTTGCTGAACCGGATGTCGACGGACTGACGGTCCTTAAGGTGGCGATAGTGGGACATATACTCACAATGCACCCCTGGGCCCCCCCCCCCCCATCTTGTCGGGTGTCCTTTCCTCTAATTGTGGCGCCCCATGGTGGGTATGGGGCCTTATTCGTGAATTAAATTATTACCTACTCATTTCTATGCTGCTGAATGATCCTCATAACTTCCCAGGCCCGTGGGGTGGGCGACCAGGCCCCCCCCCCCGAGTCGGACTGTACTGTAATGATCTGTACAAGTTGTTGCGAATAAAGTTTCTGAATTAAGCACTGGACGACCGCCAACAGCCTGGACGACTGCTCCCAGCACCTACCCCCTTCATTATCTGAAGTCGCCACGCGGTAAACGACGGCAGTGTCGCCGGCTGTAGAGGAGGCAGTGACCCTCAGGAGGTGCCAGGCTGCAGAGGACAGGTCACACACTCCCAGGTCAGTAGTGTCACGGGTCACGTGGGAGTGCAGGGTCGCCCATGACGCGCTGCCTTCCTCGCTCCCATGTTCAACCTGTAACCATGTAACAATATTTACGCCCACTCTAATCTTGACCTGTTTACACCCAGTCTAATCCACATGATAAAAATACACAAAAATATTAATATTAGCACTCGAGGATCCCGGGTTTGATTCCCGGCCTGGAGATAAACGGTTGGGCACATATCCTTTCACCAAATGCACTGTTCACCTAGCAGTAAATAGTAGTTAGGCAACTGTTGTGGGGTTGCATCTTGGGAAAGGCAAGTCGTTCTACCTTTTGGAAGAGGACGATACAAGCCTAAAGTACACATATATGTATACACAGGCTTCATGTCCCCGAAATCTGGAATTATTAATTATATACAGTCACAGGTGGTCTACAAGTGTGTAGTATTTAGTCACTTTTTTATTAATATTAAATATTGCAATCTACTTTGTCTTAATAGTTTCTAGAGACTAACTCCTAGGTATATGTTTACTGCTAGGTGAACAGATTGATCAGGTGAAAGGTACCGTGCCCCACCAGTAAAGCCACGTCAGATATTATTAAACACAAAACTAACATATGAGATACCGATCAACAGCCACGAAGCGTCCAGAGACTATGTCAACGGGCGGGTGGTCTAGGAGCCAGGGCTGGGGAAGAGTGGTCCAGGAGCCAGGGCTGGGGAAGAGTGGTCCAGGAGCCAGGGCTGGGGAAGAGTGGTCTAGGAGCCAGGGCTGGGGAAGAGTGGTCCAGGAGCCAGGGCTGGGGAAGAGTGGTCCAGGAGCCAGGGCTGGGGAAGAGTGGTCCAGGAGCCATGGCTGGGGAAGAGTGGTCCAGGAGCCAGGGCTGGGGAAGAGTGGTCCAGGAGCCAGGGCTGGGGAAGAGTGGTCTAGGAGCCAGGGCTGGGGAAGAGTGGTCTAGGAGCCAGGGCTGGGGAAGAGTGGTCTAGTAGCCAGGGCTGGGGAAGTGAGTGGTCTAGTAGCCAGGGCTGGGGAAGAGTGGTCTAGTAACCAGGGCTGGGGAAGTGAGTGGTCTAGGAGCCAGGGCTGGGGAAGAGTGGTCTAGTAACCAGGGCTGGGAAAGTGAGTGGTCTAGGAGCCAGGGCTGGGGAAGTGATCTAGGAGCCAGGGCTGGGGAAGAGTGGTCTAGTAGCCAGGGCTGGGGAAGTGAGTGGTCTAGGAGCCAGGGCTGGGGAAGAGTGGTCTAGGAGTGGGGACTGAGTGACGCAACATGGTTACGTTACCTTCCAGTGTGTGACGGGACAGCCCAGCTCCGGCCAGACGTAGAGACGCAAAGTGACGCAGGTGGAGTTGATCTCGACGAGTCTGGAGGGGTCAGGTCGGCCGGGAGCTGTAAACACACAGTTATTCTCGTTTAGTACAGGTTCTGAACGCGTCATCAAGGTCGTCTTCGTATAAAAGTGATACAGTGTGAGTTTTCAGAGCTGTGTGTAGTCATCTATATATATATATATATATATATATATATATATATATATATATATATATATATATATAGATGTGTATATATGTTAATCATACTTGGGCGTGACATACATATGGGTTGTTTATGCATCCACACCCTCTATACAGCTACTCTTCGTATGTATTATCATCAACCACACACTCTCACTCGCTATACACCAACACCCTCCATGTATCCACCCCCTCCATCACTGTCCATACACCTACACACTCCATACACATACACACTCCATACACCCACACACCCCATACACCCACACACCCCATACACCCACACACCCCATACACCCACACACCCCATACACCCACACACCCCATACACCCACACACCCCATACACCCACACACCTTATACACCCACACACCCCATACACCCACACACTCCATACACCTACACACTCCATACACCAACACACCCCATACACCCACACACCCCATACACCCACACACCCCACACACCCCATACACCCACACACCCCATACACCCACACCCTCCATACACCCATACACCCACACACCCCATACACCCACACCCTCCATACACCCATACACCCACACACCCCATACACCCACACCCTCCATACACCCATACACCCACACACCCCATACACCCACACACGCCATACACCCACACACCCCATACACCCACACACCCCACACATCCACACACCCCATACACCCACACACCCCATACATCCACACACCCCATACACCCACACACCCCATACACCCACACACCCCATACATCCACACACGCCATACACCCACACACGCCATACACCCACACACCCCATACACCCACACACCCCATACATCCACACACCCCATACACCCACACACGCCATACACCCACACACGCCATACACCCACACACCCCATACACCCACACACCCCATACACCCACACACGCCATACACCCACACACCCCATACACCCACACACGCCATACACCCACACACGCCATACACCCACACACCCCATACACCCACACACCCCATACATCCACACACGCCATACACCCACACACCCCATACACCCACACACCCCATACACCCACACACGCCATACACCCACACACCCCATACACCCACACACCCCATACACCCACACACGCCATACACCCACACACGCCATACACCCACACACGCCATACATCCACACACCCCATACACCCACACACCCCATACACCCACACACCCCATACACCCACACACCCCATACACCCACACACGCCATACACCCACACACGCCATACACCCACACACCCACACACCCCATACACCCACACACCCCATACACCCACACACCCCATACACCCACACCCTCCATACACCCATACACCCACACACCCCATACACCCACACACGCCATACACCCACACACGCCATACACCCACACACCCCATACACCCACACACCCCATACACCCACACACCCCATACACCCACACACCCACACACGCCATACACCCACACACCCACACACGCCATACACCCACACACGCCATACACCCACACACCCCATACACCCACACACCCCATACACCCACACACCCCATACACCCACACACCCCATACACCCACACACCCCATACACCCACACACGCCATACACCCACACACGCCATACACCCACACACCCCATACACCCACACACCCCATACACCCACACACGCCATATAGCCACACACCCACACACGCCATACACCCACACACCCCATACACCCACACACCCCATACACCCACACACGCCATACACCCACACACCCCATACACCCACACACCCCATACACCCACACACCCCATACACCCACACACCCCATACACCCACACACCCCATACACCCACACACCCCATACACCCACACCCTCCATACACCCATACACCCACACACCCCATACACCCACACACGCCATACACCCACACACGCCATACACCCACACACCCCATACACCCACACACCCCATACACCCACACACCCACACACGCCATACACCCACACACCCACACACGCCATACACCCACACACGCCATACACCCACACACGCCATACACCCACACACCCCATACACCCACACACCCCATACACCCACACACCCCATACACCCACACACCCCATACACCCACACACCCCATACACCCACACACCCCATACACCCACACACGCCATACACCCACACACGCCATACACCCACACACCCCATACACCCACACACCCCATACACCCACACACGCCATATAGCCACACACCCACACACGCCATACACCCACACACCCCATACACCCACACACCCCATACACCCACACACGCCATACACCCACACACCCCATACACCCACACACCCCATACACCCACACACCCCATACACCCACACACCCCATACACCCACACACGCCATACACCCACACACCCCATACACCCACACACGCCATACACCCACATACCCCATACACCCACACACGCCATACACCCACACACCCCATACACCCACACACGCCATACACCCACACACGCCATACACCCACACACGCCATACACCCACACACGCCATACACCCACACACCCCATACACCCACACACGCCATACACCCACACACCCCATACACCCACACACGCCATACACCCACACCCTCCATACACCCACACACCCCATACACCCACACACGCCATACACCCACACACGCCATACACCCACACCCTCCATACACCCACACACCCCATACACCCACACACCCCATACACCCACACACCCCATACACCCACACACCCCATACACCCACACACGCCATACACCCACACACCCCATACACCCACACACCCCATACACCCACACACCCCATACACCCACACACCCCATACACCCACACACGCCATACACCCACACACCCCATACACCCACACACCCCATACACCCACACACGCCATACACCCACACACCCCATACACCCACACACCCCATACACCCACACACCCCATACACCCACACACCCCATACACCCACACACCCCATACACCCACACACCCCATACACCCACACACGCCATACACCCACACACGCCATACACCCACACACCCCATACACCCACACACCCCATACACCCACACACGCCATACACCCACACACCCCATACACCCACTTACCCCATACACCCACACACGCCATACACCCACACACCCCATACACCCACACACCCCATACACCCACACACCCCATACACCCACACACGCCATACACCCACACACGCCATACACCCACACACCCCATACACCCACACACCCCATACACCCACACACGCCATACACCCACACACCCCATACACCCCATACACCCACACACCCCATACACCCACACACCCCATACACCCACACACCCCATACACCCACACACCCCATACACCCACACACCCATACACCCACACACGCCATACACCCACACACCCCATACACCCACACACCCCATACACCCACACACCCCATACACCCACACACGCCATATAGCCACACACACACACACGCCATACACCCACACACCCCATACACCCACACACCCCATACACCCACACATGCCATACACCCACACACCCCATACACCCACTCACCCCATACACCCACACACGCCATACAGCCACACACGCCATACACCCACACACCCCATACACCCACACACCCCATACACCCACACACGCCATACAGCCACACACCCACACACGCCATACACCCACACCCTCCATCACACTCCTACACGTCATTTAACACCTCTCCCCTGTACGTGGGGGAAGTGTACTGACCGTCCCCCAGGGTGTCAGCGACGAGGACGGGGCTGGGGGCGCTGGTGCCCATCACGTTCCAGGCGGTGAGGTAGAGGTGATGGGGCGCCCCACACGGCAGGCCGCCCACCACCACCCCGCCCGCCCCTGGGGCCGCCTCCACCTCCACCCACTCCCCAGCACGCCCCCGGTGGTGCACCGTGTACCCTGTAATGCATCAACGGTGAGTTACTGGAGAAAGCGAGGCCAACCCCCACGTTCTTGCCTTTCGAAATCCCTCTTAATTTGATGTGCTATTGTGTAAGTGGGGGGCAAGATTCGTCAGGTATTTATGCATCCACCTACGAAACCTTTACATCTTTCTTTAATCATGGCGGCTTTGTTTACTTTAATTGACAGTTGACGAGCTCTGAAGTGCTACGAGGTTGTTTATATCAACAGGCTCTTGGGTTGTGACGTTTCGAAGCTCGTAAACTGTTTAATAAATGTAAACAAACCCACATGATTGTTGAAGGATGTACAGATTTCACACGTGGTAACAAATGCATGACGAGTCCTGACGAAGAGAGTAAGAACCTTCTTACTTCTATTCATTTCTTTGTTATGCACCCCATACCCATTCCGTGGGCGATGGTGGCAAGGGTTACAGAGGCACATAATTGGTTCAGGAACTGAACCCAATAGTTCGTTTAGCTAAGCGAGTGACAATCCTGTGAAGTTAGTTACACAATTGTTAATGTTACATACACATGTATATTATATAAAATATATATATATATATATATATATATATATATATATATATATATATATATATATATATATATATATATATATATATATATATATATATATAGCACTTTACATCTATGATGAGTTACACAGTTACTTGTCCTGCTCCAAACCCACCCAACTGGGCAGCAGCTTTACAGTCATGCATGCATTAATAAAATAATAATATTTATTACATGCAGTAATAAAATTTTGAAGACTTCGCTAAGATTCCTGGCAGTACATCATTATGTACTGAAGTACTTACACATTTCTTGGACTCCATTGATGGTGTTATCTCTGAATTCCGCTATTTTTTCACATTCCATTATATAATGACGCAAAGTATGCGAATAGTTCTGCTGACACTTTACATTTAGTGATATCTACATCAGTAGATGTTACAAAGCTACAGTACCGGCTACAGTACCCAGAGGTACTTGTAGCCGAGCCTCAGCGTAGCAGTGGTAACATCTAGAAGTCTACTAACGTTACTGGATGACCCATAGACGTGCGGTTCTTCCCGCATAATGGAATGATAGATGGGGGGAAATGGTGTGAGTTTCACTTTGCCTCAAGTCTACGAGATTTTGTTGATGTTCCTGGAATATTACTGCCCTCAGGCTGCTCAAAGGCAGTCCAAGATGGTAATCAATTCCTTCTTTATGATCAAAAGTTTTGGCTAACTCAGTTTTATCATACATTCAGAGACCAATATGGGAAGGAATCCACAGGAAACAATCTCTGACTCCATCATTGATTATTTTATTATATCTGTATTTAGCTTCAGACACAAGCACATCACAATTATGCCTTGGGGAGCTGAGGGCAGTCAAGGATGATAAGGAGTCACTTACAATTAGCGTGTCAACTTTGGATTCACATACGCGCTCGAGTGCAAGGATTATAGCAATCAATTCAGTTTGAAGAGTGGAGGCCCAGTTACTTATACGCGCTCCTCACTCATGGGAGAAGGAACCATCTCTCCCTGTCACAACAACTGCACTTCCAGCGGCACCATGGGACTGGTGTAAGGAGCCATCAGTGTAAATAATTTGGGAAAGACCAAAGGCTCTCTAACTAAAGCATCAAATTGGCTTAAGACATTGTACTTTGCTTGTTGTCGAAGCATGGGTTGCTCTTTAATCAGCTTCTTGGTTGGGAAAGGGTAAGTAAGCAAGTAATTATCAAAAGAAGGCACCAAACCGGGAAGGCTATGTAGCACCATCAAATACGCAAAATAATCAGAGGGCGCTAAATATCACCAAGGATGCCAATACGAGAACAAAAACGCATAAGGCGAACGATATCAAAAGTATCCGAGTCACCAAGAATTCTATCGAGGGACAGGTGACCGCGAGGGGCGGTCGGAAAGCAAGACACACGCTCGTCCTGGAAGTCAGGACATTCAAGAAGGACATGCACGACCGTAAGAGGGACAATGCAACTAGGACAATAAGGAGCAGGGCGGCGCTCCATCAAGTGACCATGGGTTAAGCGAGTATGGCCAATACGCAACCTCGCCAGAGCTGTTTCCCACCGCCGGTTACGGTGGAAGGAGGACGGCCACGAGGAAACACAACATTTAAGAGTACGTAGCTTGTTACCAGTAACAGACAACCAAGAAGCCTGCCAACGGGTAAGGACTGAGGAATGGATAACCGGGTAAAAGTCGGAATACGGAATGCCTTTACGAGAGATGGGACAAGAGCGGACAGCTTCCTTAGCGGCAGCATCCGCACGCTCATTTAAAGACACGCCAATATGGCTGGGAACCCAACAAAACTCAACCGACTTAAATTTACTGTGAACGAGAAACAGCCAATGCTGGATCTCGACAACTACTGGATGAACTGGATTAAAGCACCCAAGAGCCATGAGGGCACTACGAGAGTCAACAACAACCACAAAGGAAGACTGACAATGAGAAAGCAGGAGACGAAGAGCATAGAGAATAGCATAAAGTTCCGCTGTAAAGATGCTAGTCTCCGGAGGCAAGCGACACATATAAGTGCGATCAGGAAAAACAACAGAGTAGCCAACACCGTCCGCTGACTTAGACCCATCGGTGAAGACAGAAACGGAGCGGGAGTGAGAAGAAAAGTGCTCAAGGAAAAGGCGTTTTAGAACCGTAGGAGGGGTAAAAGCTTTAGTGATACGAGTCAAGGATGTACAAAACCGCGGAAGAGGGACCCTCCACGGGGGCAAAGAAGGAACAACACGAGGAGAAACACCAGAAATACGAACGGAAAGAGAATCCTGTAGGCGAGATAACCGGACAGAAAGAGGGAGGTGGTGAAGAGGAACAGGAACCGCAGGAGGGGTAAAAGTTAAAGCACGACAGAGGCGAGAGGAAGGATGTTGCAAGGACCGCGCAAGATAGCGAAGACAGTAGCGATCACGGCGGTCCTGGAGAGACAGGAAGCCAGTGTCAACATACAAGCTAAGGACGGGAGTCGAACAAAAGGCACCAGAACTGAGGCGCAACCCAGTATGGTGCAAAGCATCAAGACGGCGAAGAGTAGAAGGAGAAGCAGACGAGTAAGCAGGGCAACCATAATCGAGCTTAGACAGGACGAGAGAGGAATGTAAAGCAAGGAGAGTGCGCCTATCTGCCTCCCAAGAAGTATGGGACAAGACCCGAAGGAGGGTAAGGGCCTTAGAGCACTCAACACGGAGGTAAGAGATATGGGGAGACCAAGACAAACGAGTGTCAAGGAATAACCCCAAAAGCTTCGCGGAATCTTTGTATTCAAGGGGATGACCATAAAGTGACAAAGAGGGACGAAGAACAACCCGTTTCCGCGTAAAAGTCATGGCACAAGTCTTAGAAGTAGAGAACTTGAAGCCATGACCTGTGGCCCAAGACGACACGGCATCAATTGCAAGTTGAAGCCGGCGTTGAAGGAGAGGCGAATCATCACCCTGACAACAAAGGGTAAGATCATCGACATAGAGAGCGGAGAAGACACCAGAAGGAAGAGAGGAAAGAAGACCATTGAGGGCAACCAGAAAAAGAGTAGTGCTCAGAACACTACCCTGGGGCACACCTTCGTATTGCTGAAAAGAGGGAGACAGAGCGGTACCAAGGCGCACCCGAAAGGAACGACGAGAGAGGAAGCTGCGGAGAAAGAGAGGGAGATGACCACGAAGGCCAAAAGAATGAAGTTGAGATAGGATATGATAACGCCAAGTGGTGTCGTAAGCCTTTTCTAGGTCAAAAAGGACGGCAACAACGGAGGTCTTCGCAGTAAAAGCAGTACGAATATAGACTTCCAAGTTCACCAGGACATCTGTCGTGCTGCGGCACTTGCGGAAACCAAATTGAGAAGGGGAGAGGAGGTGATGGTGTTCCAGGAACCACATCAGACGAACGTTAACCATACGTTCAAAGAGTTTGCAGACACAACTTGTGAGAGCAATAGGGCGAAAGTCCTTAGGGGAAGTACCCAGAGACCCCGGTTTGCGAACAGGGAGGACAACGGCATCGAGCCAGTCCTCAGGGACTGACGACGACTCCCAGATCCGATTATACAGACTCAGTAAATACTGAGACGTGCTCGGAGGGAGATGGCGAAGCATCTCATAATGAATACCATCGGAGCCCGCCGCCGTAGAACCGCAGAGGGCCAGGGCAGAACGAAGTTCAGAGAGAGAGAAGGGATCATTATAGGGAAGCTGAAGATGAGTGCAGAAATCTAAAGGACGAGACTCAAGGACAGGTTTACGAAGAAGGAAAGATTGGGGAAGATGAAGACCAGAGCTAACAGAAGAAAAGTGGGAACCCAGTTCGGAAGCGACCTGCAACGGGTCCGCCACAAGAGTATCATGGAGGTGAAGGACCGGTGAAACATCGGGAACGAACTTACCCGCTATCTTGCGGATACGCTTCCAGATCTGGGCCAGAGGGGTTTCGGACGTAATTGTCGAGACATAAGATGCCCAACATTCACGTTTAGCCGTACGGATGGCCCTACGGGCCACCGCACTCGCTTTCCGAAAGAAAAGAAAAGAATCGGTCGTCTGCCTACGGCGGTGCTTCTTCCAGGCTGCACGCTTACAGCGGACAGCCCGAGCACAGTCCGCATTCCACCAGGGAACGCACTTCCGTGGACCCCGAGAGGAAGAGCGAGGAATAGAGCGGAGGGCAGCGTCGAAGACAGTGTCATGAAAAAGGAGGAGAGCGCGAGAGAGGGGCAGAAGGGAGAGGTCAGAGAGAGTAGCACTGAGGGAAAATAGGGTCCAGTCCGCCTTAGCAAACTGCCACCTAGGGAAAGAGAGGGAAGGGCGAAAAGAGAAAAAGGAAACAAGGATGGGGAAATGATCACTTCCATGGAAGTCATCAAGAACCTGCCACGTGAAATCTAAGTAAAGTGAAGAAGAGCAGAGAGAAAGATCAAGACAAGAAAGGGTGCGAGTTCGAGAGTCCAAATGAG